TCCAATTTCTATTGAGTAAATGATTGAATCAACAAATAAACGAATGAATGGTAGACCTCCTCAGTTTCTCATCCAAATGAGTCTAGCAAGAGATAAACCATGATAGACCAGTCTCAGTTAGAAAGTGGAGTTGTACAGGGATTCGACCCATTTCGAGGCCGAGAAGAAGAAGCAGTCCACCGGTTGCAGCGCTGCCATGCACATCGAGGCCAACGTGGAGGATCGGAACCGCACAGCGCCCTTCCCCTTCTGCGGAAACCGCTTCGAGTTCCGCGCCGTGGGCTCATCGCAGAATTGCTGCTTCCCAGTGATGGCTGCCTGGAGCCAAACCCTACAGTAGCGTCCTTGTTCCTTGTAGTACGGCCAGGAGCCCCTAGTAGCGTCCTTGTGATGGGATTGGAGGAAATGAACCTGTTCAACAAAAATATTCTTATGACATACATACTGTTAGAGTCTGAGACATTCTTCAGAGGGCAGATCATAGTAGTAAATGGCACGATTATATAATTGACACATATTGACACTGAACATCAACCAAGCATTCTTTTGCATCATAGATTGAAACTCATTCACTGGATGTTTTGACATTCTCCGCATTCTTCCAATTACCCTTGTTGTTTCAACGTAGCCAAACAGGCACCAAACTGAACACCCACGCCCAGCACTTCTGGTTAGGTCTGCAACGCCATCATGTCCGCGGGAATGGCTCACTTGGCTGGCTTGATTGAGGGTGGCATGAGCCATCGTGACGCTGTGGCACAACTCTTCAAGGAGAACAAGCACGTGATTTTCACCGGCAACGGCTACTCCACTGAGTGGCCCATTGAGGCTAGCAAGCGTGGCCTGCCAAACCTCAACACCACGCCCAAGGCCATTGCCACTTGGAACTCTGAGAAGAACAAGAAGTTGTTGGAGTCCTTGAAGATCTACACCGCTGAGGAGACCGAAGCACGTCAGGAGGTGATGTATGAGAACTACATCTCGTGCATGAGCTGCGAGGTGGAGACCATGGTCCAGATGACTGAGACTGGCATCCTGCCGGCATGTGCCAAGGTCCGGTCTTGGACTTTCACCGTACACGCATTCCTTTTTGCATATTATATAATTAGATATAAATCTCTAGCGTCATGTTCTTGAAGGATTCGGAAAAGTGCGATAAACAACACATCACACCGTTTTCTCCCGAGCTTCGCATTTGGTTTTTTCCAGGATCTGGAGAAGTACAAGGGCTTTGACAAGCTGGCGGGCAACCGAAAGTCGGTCTACGAGGGAATCGTTGAGCACTTGGAGAAGCTGAAGGCGTCTTTCGCCTCAAAGCCCCACAGCTCTCTATCAGATGAGGCCACCTACCTGTGTGACACTGTGAAGCCACAGATGGTGGCCTTGAGGGCTGCTGTCGACAAGGCGGAGGGACTTATGGAGAGTGGTTTGTACCCTTACCCCACCTATGAGGCGATGATCTATTCCCACCATTTCTGAGCTGAGCATAGCTGAGCCGCGCTGCCAGTGGCGATGACCCTGGCACCTGGCTCCGTCCCTGGCGCCTTAGCGCTGAGAGGCGTGTCCCAGCGGCAGAGACCAGTGGAGCTGGCTTGCTGTCGCGAGGTTTTGTCATCTTTTCCAGTCGTTGAAGCAGAAATGATGAAGAACAACAGCACCCACATGAGAGTCAAGAAGAAAAGGATGGAATTTGGTGCGAGAGCTCTGTTTTTCTCTGTGACGCACTTTGTAACGTTGTGTGTTTTCCTCGTTGCACTGTCGCTATCACCTTTCAGATTTCTTCCGCCTTACTTGCTAGAATTGGCATGGATCTCAACATCACACCTCTCGAGAATCGGTCGGTCCATTCCGTCGGACAAGTTGGACAAGTTGTGGTGGTAGGAGTTGCCTCCTCATGCGGCGGTGGCATGGGGTCCTAGTCGACTCGCCGTGCTTGCTCTAAGTTTGCTAGCAGCAGGCGACAACACTCACTGGAGTGGTTTCCCATGGTTTCCCAAAAGAATTCACAAGAGATGTTCGAGGGTCCAAGGCAATTGGCAGTTGTTGTCACCTGAATCTGAAGCTGCTTAGCTCGCGTTCCGTCCAAAATGAGGTGAGCCATTTCTTCGATGTTCCTGGCTGGGAGAGGCGCTTGGTACAGGATGTGGAAGGGCTCAAACTCTACGACTTTCGAAGAGGTCCTGGTGGTGCGCCTTGGTGGGATCGGCGGTTTCCCTTGTTGTTTGCCTTCGTTTTTGCTTTGTTGTAAGGACAGGACTTTTTTTTGCCACTGTGACTAGATTAGGCGAGCCAGATTGCAGGCCTATTGCAGGGGCGGGGTCAAGCGACATGGCATGTTTTTCAGTCTGAACAGTGGAACCTTGACATCGTTGCGTTCTCAGTTTATTTAGTGGCCAAGAAAGTTAAACCGCCATCCAGTGACCCTCAGTTGGATTTGTGATTTGAAACAGCAGCTTGTCAAGATATGTTTGGGAGGTACTGCGAAGGAGTCGGAGTGAGCGCTTCTTGTTCCGCAGCACCGGCTGCCGAAAGTGATCGAACATGCTAACGTGATGTCTAGGGCAACTGGACAAGCTCAAGACGAGATGTTCCTGGCAAAGAAATGGATGAGACCAACCGCGCCCATTTTGTTGCGAAGTGGTTGTGCCCTGCAGCTTCACGGTCTCATCACCTGTGCCAGAGAGGAAGTGGATGGCCTGATGTCTCATGTGTGCCAGGCAGATGGTCCACTTTGCTTTGCATCACTCATTGATTGGCATTGGCCTCGGCATCACATCTCATCACCTCGATGAGGATCTTGCGGCATGCGACAGATCGATTCGATGTTTGTCTTGTTTGGCGGCGGTTCCGAGGTTCAAGCTTTTCTATAGAAGAATCAACCCTTGAAAGCATGCCTCCCTGATACGGAGAAAGTACAGTAGAAGAGTATGACAGCAGAATTGGTTCATGGCTCAGGTGGGATCAAGCACGCAACGTGACCAATAGCCTTGTTTCAGAGAAAGGCACCGCACTCATCGCGAGCATCAAGGCTTGGGGGCTTTGGCCATTTGTCACTTGTTTCTAAGTCGAGGAAGGACGTACTGCATGACGCACATCATGACGTATCATTTCTGTGTAAACATCCTCACAACATCGGCCCGCACCGAAGGTGTCAAGGCGCAGTCAACGTCGTAGTATCGGCCGAAAAGCACGTCGTGTGGTCATGTGTGGTGCTCAGTAAGCTGATCATTGATTCACAATTTGGCCCAAGTTAAGCCCAACATGGGGCCATTGGGGCGTGTTTTCAGCTGAAGTTGGGCCCAACATGATGCAACTTGGGTTTGTTTGGGTTCAACTTGGGGTGAAGTTGACCGTAACATGAACTCAACGCGGGAACATGGTCCGGAAAAAAGTGATCCATCGACCCATCCACGCAAAGCTTGCAGCATTGTGGGTTCAATCGGTCTCAAACAGGAATCTTGGCGGTCACAGACCGAAAAAAACGTGGCAACATCTTCGGAACATGGGCTCAGATTGAGGTCAGTGGGCGCCATGTCGCCCCAAGTTGAGCTAAAGTTGGACTGACTTCGGCCAAGTTGGGGCCAACTTAGGGGTGAATTTGGTGCCATCTTGGACCAAATTGACCCCCAAATGAGGCCATGATGCCCCAAATTGTCCAACATGGACACTTTTGTTGGGGCCGTGGACTTCCAAAAATGCCCCACCCAGCGCCCCTAGCCAAGGTCTCTCACGCTGAAATATTCAATATGCGAACATGTATGATGACTCATGATGACCCATGATCAAATTGTATCCGCCAAAATTTCCCGAACACTTCCGGCAGGGCCGGGCTTATGCCGCCACAGTGGCAGGGATGTTTGGCGACACCGCTGCTGGGACCTTAGAGAGCGAAAGTTGTTGGCAGCCAACGGTATTTTGGTGATTGTGTCATGCCCTTTGTTACCAGTAGCGTCCTCTTGCTCCTAGTAGTAAGGCCAGGAGCCCCTAGTAGCGTCCTTGCTCCTAGTAGCGATGCCAGGAGCCCGTAGTAGCGATCATTGCTCCTATTGTGTCGCAGTTCCCAGGTCCAAAGGCGCTGGGATCAAGCAGATGCTGCTGGGACACTCCAGGCTGTGAAGAGAATCCACTCAGTGTCATTGTAAGTGGATGTTCCCCATTGCTCTTCTCATGTTTTGTAAATTTGATGGGAAAGTGGAAGCTGCTTCAGGCACTTCGTCAAGCCTACTGTCGCACCTTGCGAGAGGCCTGAAGCAAGTCGGAGCGATCCGGCTGTGATACCTTTGTGATACTTTTGAACAAATAAAACAATCAATGCTGAAACAGTGTCGCGGAACAAAGGGGCACTCCAGCATGTTCTTTGCATATTAAGTTCCATTCATAGATATGGATCAACGACGTCCGGATTTTCGTTGAGTGCAAAGAAAGAAGAAAGAGGCCAAGCAGGTCTAAAGTCTAAAGAAACGAAAGAGATGGAAGAAACGAAAGAAGCAGGATCTCAGGTCCGCCAGTTCTTGTCCTCCAAGGTGCGTGAGTACAAAGCCGAGCGTGACCTCAGACGTGCTGAGACGGAGTGTGCCGTGATCTAGGCAATCTAAGAACATCTATGGAAACTACTGGTATAGTTGTTTGTATTGGACCCGATCTTCCATTTCAGCAGACGGCATCACCACCCACAAGAAGTAAAACTGAAGAGTTCAATGCAAGGTTCTCTTGTGTCCGCGTGAAGGGTGAAGCTTCAATATCATCGTGCTCCAGATGATACCTAAATTCAGCTTGCTTGGCAGTGCCTCGCAGTGCTTCGCGGCAGCACGATCTTCTCATCTCACCATTTCACAATGACGTGGCAGCCCGGTGTCCTTTGACACCCACTTCGATTTCAGAGAAATGAGGACGTCCACGAGTGAGAGCCGAGAGCCTTTTCAATGCCTTTCTGACTTCGTGATTCGCTAGCGGTAGCTGGAGAAAGGCGTCTTGAGACTCCAAGAATCCAATCTCACCAGGTCTGATCCCTTCCATCCCATGGCGCGCATTGCCATCACAGCATTGGACATGGCTGTGGATCTGTCTCTTGGCACGAAAGTCGCCACGGCCACGTTGTTCCGTTCCTCCGCGTTTGGAGGTTGGAAGCCACCTCGATGCTGGATGCTGCTTGTGGCGATGCCGCCTGGACCGGAGGGTCGGGAGACCGAAAGGCGGACGAAATGGACTCCGATGTGACTGGGATCACTTTGAACTTGGATTGGTGCGTCCTCATTCTGGACAGTGTCAGGATTGCATGTGGATTCCTTTCGAGAAGACCTGAGGTTGCCGCCCTAGATGTGTGTCTCAGTGGTGCGCGCATTTGTTTGGATCCATCTCAAAACCAGTTTTGGCCTCACATTGCTCAGGTCAAGTACACTGGAGTGGACATCGTGGAGCATGTCATTGAGGATCAAACGCTGAAAATCGAACGCAAAATATGTAGTGTCCGAAAAAGTCCCAAGTCATGAAGGGCATGTTTAAGCAGGGAGTTTGGAATCCACCTGGATATGCAAGATGCAATACGATGCGAGATGTTGCGGCCATTCAGCGACCACTGATGCGCTGACGGAGAGGAAAACCGGCAGAAATTTCCGGCATTGAGGCAGGGAATTTCAAGTGGCTCCATTCAAGCGATTGCTGACTGCACTCGGTTGACTATGATTCGAGGCCAAAGAATGAGTGTAAGCATGGGCTCAAGATGTGGACAACATGTTATCCAGAGCTCATTGGAATGGAGACATAATTACAGAGACAAATCAGGAGTTATTGCAAGAAGAAGCATGGTTACCTTCGATTTTTGTAAGTATCTGTGCCCACAAGGCACAGGCTTTGCATTATCGAGATACACACGTAATTATTTATTACCACCAGGCTCCAAGCTCCCCAGGGGCCCACTAATAATTAGGCCTTTTTAGACAGGCACATTTGGTCAGTTTCACATCCGTTAGCTCGAGCCCAAGAGAGGTTTCGACCGCGTTCGTCGGGTTCCGTGAGGTTCATGGCCGCAGACTTCAGCCGAGAGACTTCGCTGCCAGCCACGGACTTTGTCTTCTCCAAGGACAGCTCCGTCGGCATCACGACCACAGTAAGATAGATGTTTATATATTGAAGAAAAAACAAGCAGCAACATAAACAGGCACACATGTAAATAGATGTCTACTATCTATAGATGTTAATAGTGTAGAGCATATGAAACAAGGTGCAACCGAGCAGATGCTCAACCATCTCACTGCTGAAGCAAGACATTTTGCACCACCCCAATGGAGCTGAAAGTGCAAGGAGACATTAAACCACATGTTCCTGGATGATGCTGTGCGAGCCCTGCACGTGCTACAATCTTCTGGAACGAGGCATATCGACTTCAACACAGTTTGAAGCTGCGCTTTTCGTTCAGATGATTCAGATGTGCTGCGTGTTTCGTTCTGAAATCACCATCAGTCACACGGAGTTGTCACAGATCGCCAGATACCTGGTGACGAACATCCACCGTGGCGCGCCAAATCAACTGGGTGAAACAAAAGGTCATCATGCACACTATGCCCCGCGCGCGACTCAGCAACTTGAGGCGCTCAAGACAAAGGGAGAACGCAAGTGAGAACACATGATGACTGAAATTGTGCCAGGTATGACTATTCCCTGCCGCCCTTCAATTTGAGGCAGACAAATTGAACACTCTTAGTTTATCTTAGTTTATTCTTTGCTTTTTGGCTTGCTTTAGAGGCAACAGCTTCAAGTGCTTGATGTTGGTGTAGGATGGGTGAAGATAATCGGACGGTCGTGACGTGCCGCGACTTTCATCCAAGTCCAATCACCGCAGTAATTGGCGGCTTTCACCGCTTCGGATGGTCAGGAAGCTTTGTCAATTGGTCTCCATCAACCTCGAGGACAAAGAAGATTTGTCGAGGGACGGTTGTTCTGGGTGGGTGTTAAATTGAAAGTCCACAGTCAGGGAAAAATGAGTTGAAGGATCTTGAGCCTCATTGATTGATTCATGATCATTCCTGTGTGTGTAGCGCCATGTATCGCCTGACATCGAAAGAATTGGATGACATCGAAATGCTTGAGGACTGGACCGAGTACGCGCTCTTTGCTTTGTGAAAAGGAATCACCCTTGCCTTGACTTCGATCGATGTAACATATGTAAAGGCTTGCTTCGAAATGGTGGAGATCGGAACTCATAATCTTCATTGAGCTGACTTGACCCGCTGCATCACAGTAGCTGAGGTAGATTCGGTAGATGATGCAGATCACATGGTCACATAGGCACAATACATACATGTGAGATCTCGAACACCCAATAAGAACAGCTTGAAGCAATGGTTGCGACGAAATGTGGGAATCTGTAGAAACAACAACCTCCAACCTGTGAGGCATCCTCGTGTTTCCTCTAGATCACCAATGTGGATTGACAGCCTGGATCTGCATGATTCAGTTGTTCATCGCTATTTTTCAGACCGCAACATCCTCAAATGTGCGGCTGACCGGAGTCGACATCCTTGCTGAGCAGGTGGAGGATTGGTCTAAGCATGTCGAAAAGGGCTTTTGCCCCGCCCAATTGACTTTCTGCCAGGGAGCCATGATGGGAGATTCCGGAGGCAAGCTCCAGGTTATATAGTACAATGCTGTTCGATATTGGCTGTTTCTGTGTGGCCGGCGGCTCCCCACAGGAGTGATTTTTGTTGATTATTTGACAGGTTCCTGTAGCACCATGGACTTTGGGACGCAGTGCAGCGTCCAGCCAGCCGCTCCCACATCGCTTGAAGCACGCAGTTTCAGTGTTGCGACCTGTTGCAACCTGCGATGAGGGTGTGTCAAACCGAAAGAACAACAGATCATTTTCCGAGTGGTGAAGAAAAAGGACCAGCTTTGTACATGGTTCGTTTGGGTTCACTGTTCCTGCACTACCTGAGATAATGGATGAGTCCACACTCCACTCAGCCAGGTGTTGATGTCCGCGGGGACACAGGCGCAGGTGAGTTTCGCATCAGCTTCCAGCCAGACACAGGCGGGTAGGCTGGGATATGATTTGGAAAATCATGAAAAAAACAAAGTTGGAGCAGGTGAAGGAAAGACCTTAGACACGCATATATATATATATATATCATATATACGCATACATTTGCTGTAGATGGACCGAATGACCTGTGCTTGCCATAATTACATAGTTTTCATTCCGGCATCAAGGCCTGTTGATCAGCCCGAGTGCCCTTTTCAAGGTGCCACCAGCACCAGAGTTGGCATCCACCGCAACTGGGACAGAAGTTGGCTCTGCCCACAAGCATGGCACCCAGTGTTTTACAATGCGAACGGAGTTTTTCACACAGATGTTCAAAATTTCAAGAATACATCTAGCTTTTCTTGTTGTTTTGTGCAGTTTTGCCTTCCGCCACGTATTTGTAAGGTGCACGCAGACAGTGTCGCAAGCATCTTACTGGCCGTGCCCTGACACAATGAATTGTAGGGATCAAGCCCTTCATGAGCCAGTGAAGTGCAAGTTACGTAGATCGTTAATCACAATCACCCAATTTGTTGGCAGGGATGCAAATGGCCCATAATTACCCTAACAAACGAAGAGCACACCGCGTCCTTGTTGCGATTCCACGTCCCCGTGGAAACCGTCGAGGTACTTCACTGTGGCGGTCGTGGGCTTGGTCGCACTGAGCCTGGCGAGGAGAGCAGGTGTATGCAGGTGTTGATGATCGGAGGCTGAGTGAATGTTGGATCCCTTACCATCCCTGAGTGAATTGCTGACATGCGCAAGCGTTTGTCCATTGGATCGGTGGTTGCTAGAATTTCGCATGTGTGCTGGGCTTCTCGTGTGTGCGGGGCTTTGGGTGCCTGGCACCGCCCAGTGCCCAAGGCACCTCACTTGCGGCGCTTGCGCTTGTGTTGGTTGGATAGGATGACGCTGGTTTCGTGGAATGGGCATAGAGGCTGAAGGTAAGGCGATTCTGCCTGTGCAGTGTTTGTTTGGGATGCCTTTCTAGAACACTCAAAGTTGGAGCAATCGGAGGGTCCAGTGGTGTTGTGGTCATGCGATTGAGGAGGCAAAGCTGATGAACCTTCCCTGAAAGATCCGAGCACCGGACCACATCAATGTGGGTATCACTTGCTAGCTGCGAGTCAAGAAGAGATCGCAGATGGAGAAAAAACATAGAAAAAGGGTTCCACCATTGCGGTCTGAATCCAGGCTTCAGCCACTCAATGCCGGGCGAACGGACTGTGAGAAGGTTCAGCTGCAAAGTTTCAACATGTTGTTTGAGTTTCGCATTGCGTCCCAGCATCTCAAAGGCTTTGCTTTGTCTCGAATGATCTCGGTTTGCTTTGTCTTGGCTTTGCTTTTGCTCGAAGGTTCTGAAAGCATTTGGCTCAGTTTTGTTCAATAGAAGGTTTCACGGAGCACATGATGTGCCCTGCCCAGCCCAACCTTCTCACAGTCGAGATATACTGTACTAGTACCATGTACCAATGCAAAGCATGTCATTCTTCCTCTAAATGACCTAATCTCATTGTGTCACGGTTCTTTAGTGATAACATCTCACTTGTCACGGAGTGTCCAGCTACAAGCCGCCCAATGCTTGATGTATGGAATGTATCGCCTTTGCGCGAGGTGCACCGAATGCAGATGATGGCAGACCCCAAACTGGTTCTGTAGACTGAGTTCAGCAAGCCTTCCACACAACATGCCATTATGTTCCATGTTCCATTGAATTGTTGGTATATACCAGGCGACTTCCTTGCCTCTCGCTTGTTAAGGGCAGACCCACTCGAGGCCGATCCGCCGCACGTCGCAGCTTGAAGCGAAGTCTGATTCCGATCGGAACGCACGCACGCACGCCGTGGGAGGTTGGGCTGGGCCCTGGCATCGGACGTGTTTCCTCCATGCAGGCCTGGACACACAGAGATGTTTTTGGTACATTTTGTACTCGGTTTTTTCTGATTACACGTTCTACCTTCAAACCATGCAAATGCCAAGGACATGAGGGGCACGTGCTTGGTGTAAGGACGTTTTTGGCTGACTGTGCTGCGTTACTGGGTGAGCCAGAGATTTTGATGACTCTTTTATCACTTATCACTTATCATCACCTATAGTACGTTCATGTGACTGGACTCCAGCCTATTTGACTCTTGCCAAACTGAGTCGCCCTGTCAGGGAACAGTTTAACAGTCACGCAGCACGCTGGCAGGACATTTTCTTCTGCCAGCGAAAGTGACCCGTACAAGAATCTCAGCTTGTTTAATGCGCGTTTGGCGTTGAACCACACTTGTGCGATGCTCCTCTTGCTCCAAGGATTCTAGGGGTTGATCGCAATGCTTCGCAAGAAGAGATCAAGAAAGCCTACAAGAAGCAGGAGCTAGTCAAATGTTGCGATAGGAATGTCGTGCTGTTAAGCAGCTAGAGCTCACTGAAGCCACTGGTGCAGCAACAGCTCCTGGTCCAAACCTTGCTTGCACTGAATGAAAGACTGGGGGGAAACCTTTTCAATCTTAGTTGAACAACTCCGAGTGCTAAATCCTCATACAGCCTAGCCTGCCACAGGCAATGGAGTGGCATCCAGATAGGCAACCCCCTGAAAAGCGAGAGGAGGCCAGTTGTGTGAAAGGTGTTCGAGTTGCAGATTTTGGTGCTTCCTGATCTCTAGCTTGAACGCTTTGAAGATTGCAATTTAGGGACCACCAATCCTTCTCAGGCACAGAAGCGATTTAGCCAAGTTGCCAATGCCTACGAGGTGGGTTGCATGACGTTCACACTCTCAAGTTATCTTGTGATGTCCTTGTCCCCGCTGGGGCAAGGGTTGTGATGTCCCGACTGGAACCGAACATGTATGCTTTTTGCATTTTTTTTGCTAGATGTCATTGACCTTCTCCTTTGCCAGACATTGTCCGACCCGAACAAGCGGCAGATGTACGATCTGGGAGGTGGCAAGGAATCCCAGAACCTGCAGAGCCATGCGTTGCCATTCGGAGGGAGTGGAACAACATGTGCATCCCTGGACGCTCTCAGCTCCAGGCATGGGACAAAGTGGTCCCAGTGCAGCTCTCAGCGAAGAGTGGAGCTGGTGGTCTGAGCATATTGATGACACTTGATTGTTGTGGGCTTCAGCATCCCTACGAGGCCATCCGGGAAGCTACAGCAACAACCAGGCCTGTGCCTCAGCATGAAACTTGAGGAGCATGATTGACTTGGAAAGTGTTTGGAGTCATCCGCATTTTCATGCCTTCTGAAAAGTGCTATTTGTGTATCTCAAACCTCCAGGGCATTTGATTTCACGTCCAAAGATCTGGCTTTAACGCGAATTGAGCAAAGATAGTGCACCACTACCCATGCCAGACATCCAATGACCAAAACTCACAGCAAATCCCCAATAGATCCAGGTTAGTTGAAACATCTGATCCAGCTTCTTTTTTGCCATGAGACCATGACAGCTCACTCTCGGAGCTCCCAACGGAGCTCCTTCCTCCGGGTGCTCCGAGCGCTGCTCCGAGCGCTGCTCCTGGCGGCCGCCGGAGCTGCCTTCGTGGCGCCTGGCCGGCCATGTGGAAGAGGCGGTGAAGGCCTCGGCAGTGAAGTGGCGAAGCAAAGAAGCCAATTGGCGCCAATTGGAAAGCCAGCATTGGCGAATAGAGAAAGTGACGCATTTCGAAAGAGAATGCAAAGTACACGAAGTACACGAAGCAAGCTCACTGCACTGCCTTTATCGCCTCTCCTGCCTAGTCCTTCACATGCGTTGGGACTCTTAGGCCCCTTCGGCTTTTTTGTGGCTGGTGGCATTTGTTCAAGTCTGTCGCATGTGATTGCAACGCCCATTGATGTGGTGAAGACATCGCAGCAGGCAGAAGAAGAGCGAAATGAGAGAAAGGGGATCAAGGGCAGCCGGGGAATGCTTGCAATGGCTTACAAGCTGGTGCAATCGCATGGGCCTCGCAGACTTCTCAGTGGAGCTGGAGCCACCTTTACTGGATACTTCCTTCATGGAGCTTTCAAATATGGACTTTTTGAGATATGGAAATCCATTTTTTCAAATCCACAAGGTTTCACTGGCCATGCATATCCCAGTGCTTTGTTTGTGCGCTTTCCTGGCTGAGATGCTGGCCACCATCGTGCTTTGCCCTGCAGAGGCCGCAAGGATCATGCTCGTGGCAGATCCAGAGTTCGTGATGCCAGCTCGAGAGGCCTGGGAACGATTCTGCAAGCAATCAACGCGAGCTCCCATGCATGGGATCCACATGTGCCTTCGAAGTCATTAAACTCGTTTCGGCCTTTTTGTTGACCCTTGTATATAATGTGTATATATATATATATGGTACACCCCCCAAAAAGTCCTACCTTTTGGACAATTTCACGGTTGGGGATGATAACCTATCAGTTAATTAAAGGGTCATTTTGTAGTCCCTTTTTGGTAAAACAAACACAGATTCCTTTGGTTTCAGATAATTTAACGGACGGCTGCTCGTGCAAGGATCTTGTCCATGTTTGGACTGAATACATGGCTGGCTCTTCAGCAGCTAAAAAATGATCAAGGAGTTTGGAATGGATGGTTTGGAGCTTTGATCCCTCTCTTAGCAAAGCAGTGCTCTTACACTGTTGCGAAGCTTGTCACCTACGATGTGCTCTCAAGCACCTATCAATTTTGGCTAAACCCGCTACTTGCTCGTGTCCTTGCGGCATTTTGTGCAGCCACCGCAGCAACCATGGCATCTCAGCCTGCTGACACTGTGTTCACTTGCATTTCGGTGGCTGGTGGGAGTGGCACATGCCCTTTGCCCTTGAACGAGGAAGACTTTTGGGAAGATAAGCCGATGAGTGTCTGGAAGCAGATGCGAGACGCGGCAAGACGTCTTGGATTCATAGGCCTTTTCTCTGGTTGGCAAACCAGAATCTTGCAAATGACGATCATCGTCATGGTGCAGCTTCTTCTTTACGACACAATCCGACCAAAATTTTGATGGTGCCGGCCATGTGGGCCCACCTCAACAACTTGGTCAGGATAGATGCATGACAAAGATGGACAAGGGTATAGTTTGCCTCGGTGATTTACTTCGAACAATAATTCATTTTTCAGGCATGATAGCTAGGGTCTCTTTGCGCACCATCCGGCGCAGTCGTGACTGTTTTTTTGAAGATGACCCCTCTTTCCATCGGTCGCAAAGCGTAAGATAGAGGTTCTCTTAAAGTTGTCCGAAAAGACTCCACACAGCCATAAGCTGTGGAGGACTTCGTCGCTTTGACCCACCCGCCTGGAACGTCTAAAACTATGCAAAAAGAGCTGGCGACTCCGGTCTCAACCACATGCTGGTGCATGCGGTTGCAAGCCAACGACAAATAGGGCGAAGAAGCTCCAGAGATGGTTGAGACAACTGAGGTATGTTACACTTTTGGTCAACTTGTTGTTTTAGATCTGGTTGCTTCGGAGCTCGGTCATGTTTTGATGCCATTGGCTCGCGTTGCAGAGCTATGATAAGTTATCTCCACAGCAGACAAATCATGGTTTGCTAACCAATGACATCGATTTGCATTGAACTTGCATATGATCTAGTTCAGTCTCCACCTGATTCTCGTCAAGCAGCCATGCTGAATTCCGAAGAGCCAGATTTATTGGAGTTCAGAAGGCAGGGCCGATCGCAGGGCATTTGGAGTGAACATAGATGTTTCTGTGAACATTGCGGTTTGAACATGAACTATGACGTTGGTTTGACAGGTATTTGGACAAGATCGGAGATAAACGACGAGCTCCGGAGTGGACCATTAGCCCTGCTCTCGTCTCATGCGCCTGCTCCGATTGGGACCAGTGTTGCGGAGTAGCCGCTTTCGGCTAAGGCTGGAATGATAACTGGTTTATGGATAAGGCGGCTTCATCTGCAGCACAGCCGATCTCCAAGTTGATCGAAAGTCAAACTGGGTGGGCATTGAGTCTTTGAGAACTTTTGGACTGACTGGACAGTGTCCCACTTGAACAAAGCCAAGACTGCTTTACTTGAGGCACCTGGAGCCAGGTCAATACAAAGTCGACAGCAACTTGTCATGAGTTCGCTTTGTGCATCTTTGTGCTGTTTTGAGATCAAGTTGGCTTTGACGTTTCGCCTTTCAGGAGACTTTGTCTCAGATCCCACGGTAGAAGTCCTGAAGGGGTCTGACACATAGAGTGGATGGAAGGATCTGCGCTCCCTCAGACGCGTGCGCCTCTCTTAGCGGGGTCTGAGGAAGCTTAGTTCCTCGGGCTCCTGTCCGAACTTCACCTTCGCGCATGAAGTCTTGGACTCAAAGCGACATCAGCGATGAGCGCATCAGCGAAAGCCCAACAGGAAACCAAGAGGTCACAGAACTCATGACAGAACTCCTGAAGCAAGACATTCTGGATTTTCTTCCTTTCATTGGCCTTTCAATTGTTCTAACATATTCTAACAATTTCATTATTTGTTTTCATTTATACAATATGATTGCAATGGCAGTATGCTATGGCATGTTCGTTTCATGTTACCGCTGAGTCACGAGTGCATAAAGCCAGCGGCCTCATGAGGGGCTTGGTGGGTCGACCTGACACCTTTCACCGTTTCGAATCGGCCTGGCCATGCCTCCCGATTCAATTGCAAATACACAAAGTCAAAGGAAGATAAAGGAAGTAAACATCCACCTTACAACATACCACACTTCAACAGCGGGGTTCTCAGCTCAAAGAGCTTCTCAGATCTTAGACTTCGCTCTGTTTTTTCTCATTTCTACTCTTTCTATCTCCTTGGCTGCCGTGGCGGTTTTAACTTCTCACTTCTCACTTCCTTGGCTGTTTGTCTCATACTCATGGACGCATGGTCCGAATGTGTGTGTAGATACTTACATGAACTTACATGTATAAAAAACAGGCCTCAGCGAAAATGCATTCTACAGTCTACCACCAAGAATATTATCATGTTGCATCACTTTCGAGTTGTTTCAGTGTTCACTCTTTCAGAGTGTGTCAGTTGATGGATTCTACGCTTTTCGTGGCTCTTTGATGTTGGCCCTTTCCAAAGCGTCGGGGTGCCCTCATTTGGAGTGGCCAAACAGAGCGAGACGACAGGGTGGAAAGCAGAGCAGGAGGGAGCGAGCGATTGAAAGACACTCTGAAATGTTGAGTTCGAAAAAACACTGTGATCCTAGCAAAGAATTGAGATGATGAAGAGCACGAGAATGATGATCATGATAATAGATGATGAAGAAGATGATGAAGATCATATTGACGATGAGAATCATGATAATGAAAGAGAGTGCAACGCCAGATACTCGCATCTTTTTCCCATTGCGCATGGGTGGCCGAAGGTGGAAGACCGGCCCTGGTAGCTCGGCTGCACGCCGCAGCTCGCCATGAGCCGCGACTGTGGCTGATGCAGCCGTGACTCCACAAAACAACAAATCCAAACAAACAACAACCACAAAGTTCAATCATCAAAAATTAGGATTGTGTTGCTCACGTAGCCTGTCGTTTGATCTATTTCAGCTCCCAGAAGCTGCTTCCCGCACTACATTTGCACTACAACCAGAAACAATATTAGATTTTGATTTGGCAACTTCGACCTTGATTTTCGACCACACTTACACACTTTGGCAACTTCCACTTTGATTTCCGACAACAGTTACAGTATACACTCTTTTGCTGCCATTTTGATTTTCGACGACAGCTGCACACTTTGGCAACTCGACAAGCACGATCTCTGTGAGAATTCACATGTCACCTCACGTTGAGCACTCAACACGCACAATCTCTGCAGAGGGTTCACCGACAGGAGTACAAATTCACTTTTACCTAGGAGCAAGAAGCTACTAGGAGCCAGGGCATCGCTACTAGTAGCAAGAACGCTACTAGTAGCTCCTGGCATTACTACTAGGAGCAAGGACGCTAC